AACAATAAGGCTGAGAACACCAAATTGTTTGTCCAAAGTCCTGATCCAAGGGGTAAGTACAACTTTAAAATGAGAAATTGTGATTAAAGTGATAGGGGATACATTTATTTAACAAGTCTGTTGTCCTGAATCTTTAGAAGTTTTTCTTTTTTACTTCACTGATTGCAGATCTGTGTTTATTCTAGTTAATACCACTTGGCTTTTCTGAATTGACTTGTAACATTGATCTGGATCGCAGCCATTACAACAGATTTGCTTCTAAAATGAATCTGTATGAAAAGTTTTCAAAGTCAAGCTCCCAGGTGCCCTGGGCCCCATGTGTTCAAAGCTGCCAGATACTTTCAGTCACAGTGTCAATGCTACAACAGACCTGGGGATCAGAGGTGCATGTTGTTGGTGTTCAACCACTTAACACTTGAAGGTAAATGCTTTAAAGAAATTAAAAGAAAAATTGAAGTGTGTAAATGCTGCCACCTGGTGTCCCACAAAGGAATTAAAAGTTTTCCCAGATCCATCTTTTGCGTGAATTTGCATTTGTTACAATTATACCCGCAATCCCTTTATACAGCAATAAAAACTAAGTGCTTGGTGAAGGTATGAGCTGTTACTCCAAAACATTAGTTTCAATATCATGTGTGTCGCTGTTATGATCCACACATATTAACAAAATGAAGTGGGTTATAATAGTATCATAATTTATACCAATCCCCAGTGAAGTGCACTGCATGGGCATTTTCCATACACTAATGCAGATATTTCAAAATGACAAAAAAAAACCCAACGTATTTCAGTGTTTTATTTCCTGAAACCAAGTGTGAGAATGTTGAAGTTTTTTAAAACAGAAACTTTTAAACACAGAACACAAATAGTACAATGCAGGTTTAGAGAAAAGGAAAATAAATCAATCAACTGGAGACCCGTCCAGGGTGTATCCTGCCTTGCGTCCGTTGCTTCCTGGGATAGACTCTTGTATTGGGAAAAGCTGTTAGAAAATGAGTGGATGGAGGGATAAAGAAAACAAGACATGTGAGGGCAAGGATCTGATTAAACAGATTGTGTAAACTAAAAAATGCATTTGTCATGAGACACACAATCTGATACGAAATAAAATTAATCAAAATCAAGGAGTATATAAACCTCCCTCAAATCTTCAAATGTGAAGAAGCCGTTTTTTACCAAAAATGTTACTGACAAGTGAGACAGCAGCCAAGCAAAGGGATTGTTCTCCTCTATGAATTCCTGTAGCTCCACACCATTCCTTGAAAGATTTATTTAGTATTTAGAATAGTAATTTGAATGTTACAGATGACCACACATCCGGCTACAACATAAATTGTACTACTAAAAATGAAAAAACTCAAATAATTCATTCACACTTTGTTCACACAGTGTACTTAGGGCCTATTCACTCCTAATCCTGGAGGTGTACTCTGTGTTCAGGTTTTCTTTCCTCATTTGATTCTTGGTAACTTTATTTGAATCAGCTCTTTAATTAGTTGTTGTGAATACACTGAGCATTAAAATAACCTTGCCCTGTAAAAAAGAGCATCTTACAGCTGTGTTTTCTGTGTCGGTTTTCTGTGCCACAGAATGTACAGTATGGCCAAGCTGCACATCCAACGTTTCTTAACTGCATCTTTTGATACACAACTATACCAATAACTTAAGATCTGAGAGTTATTCTAATCCTGTTATACCCCTGGTAATGAAAACCATCTCTATGGTATCATTTCATTCAGCCCAGGGTTACTTTCATAACAAGAAATATATAGATATAGACGTCAAATGTTTTTAGGACTCTTATTTGTTTTTATCAGCTGTTGCACTGTAATATGCAGGCATTAGTAATGTACTATTGCCATGAATCATATATCCATTTTCTAGCTGCTTCTTCCAATTTGGGACCAGGGAGGAGCTGGAGCCCATCCTGGCATGCAACGGGCACAAGGCAGGGTACACACAGGGTACTTGAACACACTCTCTCACACCAGAGCCAGTTTCCCCCCAGGAGTCAATTAACCTACCAGTATGTCGTTAGACTGTGGGACGAAACCAGAGCACCCGGAGGAAACCCACAAAAATACAGGGAGAACATACAAACTCCACACTCCAAGGGTTGGAATTAAACGCAGAGCCCAAGCAGTAATGGTAACCACTGCACCATCATACTTCCAGAGGCTCAGTGGGTGGCAATATTCTGCATTCACAAATATACCATGTGGCTACCTTGTGGTTCAGGAGGCTACACTGATGGGTACTACACTTCAGTCTGATGTAATCTATGTTTGACATTTGATTCCCTGGCTTTGGCTTGGAAACTTTTGTTTCTATGTCTGACTTTGTTTCCCTTTACCTGACTGGCCTGTCAGAGTCAGTTTATAGCTCAACTGTCAACTGTGAAGCCTAGATTACATATTGCACATATGATATAGTATAGTAGTATTCTGCCCGTTCGCGAAAATGTATGAGGACGGTGAATGCGACTCTTTCAAGGTCACTGCACACACCCACCCTGATGACAGCGAGACAAATTATTGCCATCATGACTGATTAAAAACAAACAGGAAACTACAATAATCTAGATGCTGCTAGCTGAATGAGGCTTAGGTTAATGTTGACTTGTTGAAAATGTCAAGAATATTTTAAGAAGAATATTTTAAAGGCGCTCACAAATGCTCTACTATATGTTATGTGATAAACATCTTGTAATTTAAAATGACTGTCAAAATTACTAAATATCCTCAAAGGATACAAATTTATCATAGGGAAGATGACGTGGAGATTGAACTGCTGGTTTCAGATACCAGAAAAACAAAGTTCAGGGGCATCAACAGTTCATCCTGGTTTACTGTATTTTGTTGTCATTACAGATCCTGCCTACATGCATGTGGTATATGGTGTACATGTATAAGTGTACACACTGCTCCATTTTTGAGTTTTCGCTTCGCTAAGATTGCGAGCGGCGTTATTTCCAAACGACGTTGTTACTATAATATTTCTCCTATCAAATTAAAAGCGCAGAATCTGAACTCAATTTCAACTTGGCGAGAGGTTTCGTGACGCGTACAGCTTAGTGAGCACGCCCTGGCCACACGCGCCCGTGTCTGTCTCAGTGCCCCCGTCACAAGGTATTAGCAGACGAGACGCGACACACACATCGGCTCCTACACGGCCCTGCCTGTATTGACTTTGCAGGATGCTCGTTTTTTCTTTCAGGCACGAATGAGCTAAAAGGGAAATTCTATATTTAGACCAGCAGAAGCATTTTTTTCAATAACCGCAGTATTGCATACATGCACACATACAGTTCATTTTCATTTTCTGTACAATATGGTGAGCACTGGAAAAATGAATACAATCGTCATCCTTTCGAATGGGAAGTAGTCTGTGGGGCGATGATAGGTACAGAACAGGTACGTTGTTAATTGCAAGGTAACATGACTGAAAAATTAGGCATGATGTTGGCTTAATTATTCACTGTGAAACCATTAATTTATAGAAGGCTGATTGCAAAATCGGTATATGGTTAACAGGTTAACGCAATATATAAATACTTGCAGTTTATTTGGAGAAAATGTAGTGATATAAATGAATAAATCATTATTTGATTTTTCTCCCAAAGTGTTTCTTCTCAATAAAACGAGTTGTGTGTGACATTAAATCGCAGTAGCCAACATGTAGAGGGCGCTGTTCTCGCTGAATAACGTTTGAATGATTTTGAAAGAATACAGTCATTATGACGTCACAATGGCAAGGAGACGTGGCAAACAGACATTTAAATCCTCAGACAGCGACAGCCGAGCGCCCATTATTGCTCTTCATGCGCAGGCATTACGGGTGGAAGTCGATATTCCCCAGCTACACGCTTGCCAGTTTAGTCTCTCTAGTCCAGGATAACATCGGAAAGGGCGAAGATGGCTACGGCAGCGAATAATGGTTCAGTCGGTAAATGGGAAGTCGTAAAGAAAGGCAAGAAGCCGAACATTGCAGGAAAGAAACAACCTGATAAGAAATCGGCTGGAAGGAAAGCTCTGAGCGAGTCTAACATGCCCAAGATCGACCCAGCTCGTAAGTGAAGAGAGACAGTTCCTTTTTCTCCCCTTAAGCGGAATTATCTGAAATGCCCATTGAATCGAGTTTTGCAGTCCCATTAGCTGTTTGCTGTGAAATGGCAGCATGATTTTGAACCGACAGGATGGTCCACACGTATTTAGTGTGGTACATCGATGTCCTGCCGAGATTTATTTTAATTGTTTGGAGTTTAAACTTATTTTGCCCCCCAACTCATTATACATAGGCCCCGGGAATATTCATACCAAAAAAACATTGCATACAATGTTACTGGAGCGGTAATGGATCAAATTAATTTCGTCCTACATGCCACTAACAGGGTCTAATGCATAAATAAATCCAATCGCATTAAAAATAAGTGTTTCGTACATTGTGAAGGGTGGCAGGGCAAATAACCCGGTTTGTCAAAAAACAATCGCAAAAAGCTGGGCGAGTTTTGTGTCTTTTTAAAATAAATAAATAACTAAAGGGTGAAACCTCTTTAAGGAGTTAGAGGTTGGCTACTTCGTGTGGTTGCTACCAGATGTTCATTTTGAGGAAACGTCATGATAACCTGACCCGGTAATAATGAGCGCCTCCATGTTGAAAGCGGAGCTCACGATCTTACCCGGAGACGCCGCATGTTTCTCTGCGTTTTGCAGTTTGCTCGTCAGTCAGCTCAATAGCTGTATTACACTAATCGTTTTCAGAGCAAGACATTGCGGGGGTGTAACATTCGCCGTAATGACTTTATGATCCGTTAGGAGGACGCAGATGTCAAATTCTTTCTCATGATGGAGGCCCGACGAAAAAAGAACATGAATTTATGTACCAATTAATTGAGCTATTGTTCGCCCAGAAGTGAGGCTTGTGTCCTACAGCTGATTCTGTGTGAAAACAGGTGATGACAACAGGTTACCTGTATAGAAATAAGTAAATTGCATTAAAATAGGTAGTGAGCAGAAAGGTTTGTGATGCCTGAAATGTCTTCATGTAAATACACGTTTTACTGGCCTCCTGGGCTGCAATTTAAATACAATTATTTTGTAATCCCTTTTCAGTGCACAAAAGACACTTCGTACAGGGAACAGTATTCAATACACAAATCCTTAGAAGGTAATGAGGATTTAAGTGTTTTGAATACAGAATCCATACCGCCACTAATTGCCTCCGATAATGCTTTTCATCTGGTTTGTTTTGGGGGAGAATGATGTAGCAACTGGTTCCTTTATCATATAAAAAATGCAGGGAAGCGGTATAGTTAATTTGCTTATACTGCAGAGCTTTTAGGACAGCCCCTTTGGAAGTTTGCTTGCTTTGAATCTATGAGGTAGTGTAATGAGCACTTTCATTCGCGGATCTATGCTTTTTGTTCAGTATCTGGTAAGAATTTATAAACAAATAAAACGTGGATTTCACACTAAGGAAAATGTCTCAGTGACACTGGCTATATTGTTTGCATTAGATTAAAAAAAAGTTTGTTCCCTCAAGCATATACAATAGAGAGTGGGGACAGTTGTTTGGAAGGGTTATACATGTTTAGTTTTTTTGAAGCATAACACTTAACTATGCAGCATTGTTTAATTTAGTGCTGAAAAAAGTTAAAAGGAATTGTTTTCTGAATTGAAGAAGCTCATGGCAAGTAATGTTTATTTTAATGAGATTTATGGCTCTCTGCAATCTTTTAGTACCTTTACTTCTGAAAGTTTCTGGTTTGCTTTGTTACTGCATCTTTGAGTTGGAGGTCCTTTCTAAGAATCTATTTTCTAACTGCTTTATCCCTTTCGGAGTGGCAGGGAAGCCGAAGTCTGTCCTGATGAGCAACAGGCGCAAGGCAGGATACCTCCTGGATGAGACGCTAGTCCTTTGCAGGGCAGGCAGACTCACACACACACACAAACCAGGGAGAATATTCATAGAAGCCATTTAACCTACCAGTATGTCTTTGGACTGGAGCACTTGGAGGGAAACTCTTGTGAACATGGGGAGCACATACAGGCTCCTCACAGATACTACTCTTTTCTAATAATAAAATATGCAAATTGCTATGGTTTCAAAAATGCAGTGACATCACTATTCTTGTGAAATGGATCTGGTAGCTGCAGCCGTATGAAATCCAGACGAAACTATTTCCTACATTTGATCCATTACATAGCAAAAAATGGAAGATGTCTGGTCACTTACTGTTCATGGGATATTCACACAGAAAATGTATGTTTCACTTTTAGTAGCAAGCCCCTTCCTTATTTAAACCCACAATATCCTGCAGTCCCAAAGAATACTTTTTTTTTGTCCTTTGTGAATGTGAGTGTTGTAGCGCAGTCATTCTGGAAAAATCCAAAGGTGTAAACCACTTCATTGTTGCTCCAGACAGTAATGAGGCCTATTGATTTAGGCCTAGACCAGATATTTTTGTGACTGTCTTGAATAGGTTCTACTTTGCCAAAACATGATGGTGAATGTTAATTAAAAGTGTCTGTCTTAAAACACAACACCATTTTCTTAACTTGACGGGCATCTCGAGGCTTCTCTGTTCTCGATGTCTCGAAAGATGAGCTGCTTTGTTGTATAGAAACGCATCTCTGTGTTGACAAGACTACAGATATTTATGACAGGAAAGTCTTTGCTTTACAGGTAGTTGTTGATGTCAGGGTTCTTTGTAGAACTGGAGATGTTTGTGCTGGTGTACAAAGACCTTTCATATACACCTTCATTGCTACCCACAGGAAGTCTGTTCTGTGCTTCCTTCTTGCTTTGTCTGTAATGTTCTGTCTGCTCTTCTCAAAACACGTGGGAGGACTAAAAATGCAGTTTTTCAGATGTTAACATGAAATTGTGGAGCTGACAAATGCTGTATTGCATTTTTGTAACAGTTGTTCTCCAAAGGAAAGTAGCAGGACTGATTTCACTTGTGGTTTAAGATAATTATATAGGTGCTATATAAACCAGCTCATTATTTGTTTTATTTTTTAAAAGAAATATCAAGTTGTAGTTAAGAACCATGTTGCCAGCTAATAAAATATCTCTGTTGAATTACTTAAAACCACTAATAAGGCACAAGATAGGGTAGTAGTTCAGGTGGGTAGCTGTGTCAGCATGCGTAGGCTGCAAAGGAACAAGTAATAGGTTTATTCCATGCTGAAAAAAACCTGAAGAAGGCTCCATGGCTGAAACATTGTGTTCTCTTTCTTCTTTTTTTCAGCATGGAATAAACATATTACTTGTTCCTTTACAAGATAGGGTAGACTGCTTTAGGGTTAACAACAGAAATACTGTCTTGTAATTAGTACACTAAGGGACAAATGGGTCACCTCAAGATGTGAGGAGTCTTTATCTTTCAAAAAGTCATTCAGAGTTCCCTACAGCTGTGTTTCATACCCTCTGGCTCTTCATTCTCAGACTTGAAAGTCATAAAAGCTTAATAACTGCTGAGCTGAGCAGTGTATTGCAGTATAATTCAGTCTGCATAGCTTCTGGTAAATAAAATATCAGAATAGTGCAGGGATAATTACAGAACCTGGCAGCTATGGCATGTACTGTAACTTTCTATGAATGTGATAAATGGCATGTTCTTATTTGTTAACCATCATTTTAAAAGCCTTTGGAAAAAATTACTTTGTATGTATTAGAAAGTCAATTTTTGTAATATTTGTGATTTATAAGATCAGCAACAGTTGAAGTAATGCATACCCTGTGGTAATATTGCTGGATTACTTTCTTATATAAAATGTGTCTTTAGAGGCTCTTTGTCAAGACTTTTAAAATTAATTTTGTTTTATTAATTTGGAATGTTGGGTGTTCTCTTTTCACAATGGTGAAATTATATTTCCTGCTTATTGGCATTTAGAAAGATTGTACTGGACATTTTTTTAATACCTAGAACGTTTTTTATTTCAAATCTGGCAGCAGAGCTTGCTTTGGAATTCTTGCAACCATCTCTTGCGAAATGTGGCGCCGGACGTGCTGTACTTAACACGGCCCGTCCTGGGCGAGACTTGTGTAGTAATAACAGTTGCTGTTTTTCCGAATTTACTGCAGCCCCGCTGAAAATGTCCGAGACGATCTACGAGGGCTTTGAGCGACTGGGGAAGAAGCTGAATAAAGAGCAGGTCCCCCCAGTATCAGCGCCAGAGCCACAGCAGAAGAAAGCCAGTTCGGGGAAACCGACAAAGAAATCCCCCGGGAATGACGGAGGACAGAAATCGGGGAAGTTTAAAACGCTGGAGGACGCTATGAAAGCGGTTAGTAGACACTTTGTTAACGTGCGAGCTGCCTGTTGAATTGGAAATTGTTTTTTTATTTTTATTTTGTACAACACGATACGGAAAATCACCTGTGCTATGTCATTGAACCTGTTCTTTTCTTCCTCCACTAGATCTTTGTTTCTTAAGTCTAAGTGCATAAGAATGACTTGAAAGTAATGACTGCTTTATAAAGGTGGTTTTGTTTTCCTTGCCTGCAGCAAAATGTTTTTATTGCTTAGGTTAGAGGAGAGACTCTACAGGCTACAGGCCAAGTAGTTTGGATCCATCAGCTCCTGCTGTCTTGATACTGTACGTGCTGGGCCGTGCATTATCAAATTTATAGCGGTGAAGAACTGTGATGGAACAGTGGCGTGGAGTTTTAATTCTTTTACCTCACAGCTCTTGGGTCCCGTGTTCAATTCTAGCCTGGGGCACTTTCTCTACAGATTTTACATATTCCTCCCCATCCCTGTGTGCTTCTGCCCTCATTTGGAAGATATGCTTCCTGAGCTAGTGGTTGTCTTGAAATTCTGTGTATCCTAATATGAACTGGCTTTTCATCAGGATGCAGTCATTCCTTGGACCTTGTGCTTCTAGGACAAGAGGTAGCTTGCTAAGACCTAGCCAGGAATTAGTGGCTTTCTGATAATGTGTGGTTGATTGGAAGAACTTCTTAGCCCTTTATCTGTTTTCATTATGTTTGTCATTTTGTCATTACGAATGTGCACAAAAGGAGCACAGTGTGAAGTCTGCTTTTGCTCTCCATGTTTGAGTGGGTTTCCATGTTACTCAGGGTGCCACCCATCTCTCAGAATCATTCTGGGTCGGTTGGTTTGGCTAATGAGAAGTATCCTTCCCAGGGCTCAAATCCCATCTAGTTCTCATGAGGAAAATCTGGGAATCTCAGCTCGTTACTCGAGTGGCTCTCCTGCATCTTTTGTAGCCTTGATGCACTGGAATTTTAAAATTAATTGGTTCAATTCAGTCCTGTCCGAATTGAATTTATTGCACTGTGAGGAGAGACTGTTCCCGGAGTTTTGTTTTTGATTCTGAGGTATGAAGCGCCTTAAGGCCAGTTAACTCACTTGTTGATTAATCAAATCATCTCAATGCTTATGTGATTTCTGTTTAATTGGTGCTCTTCAGTAAGCATGCCAATTTAATGTGTCTGCATCGCGTTTAGAAGAAAATGTTTTTCCCTTCTATGGTGCATCACCCAATTTTGATATCATTTCCAATTTTGATATCACAAGCTCAGGCTTGTCTGTACAAATGATCATCATTAGAAATGTATTAACCATTTTCTTTAAAATCCTTTTAAAAGCTCGTTCATACATGTGTTATGTGGTGCAGCCGTGAACTTTTAAGTATGCAATTTCCATGTGTTGGGTGAATAAGTATGTTGTAGGTAGTGCAAGGAAAGAGGCTTTAAAGGGAAAATGGCTATTAAACAAGTTTCTTATTCTGCTGCCTTGTTTAGCATAAGCAGACTAATTGCGAAGTTTTAACATTTGGTTCTTTAGCTCACATTCTTTATTTTTATATCCTGTTTTCTGCAGTTTGATGTCGCAGAGCTCCAGCAGGAGCTAGAAAAGAGCCAGAACCTCTTCCCAGAAAACCCTTCTGTGTGGGTCAAGGACTTGGCCGGCTACCTCAATTACAAGCTGCAGGCCCCCGAGAGTGACCCCACACTCAGCAACCACCCCTATGGTCAGTCACTTGCCCATTACATTTCAATGAATGTCACAGCACCTCTGTTAAAAAAATCATATTGAACTGTATTACAGTAAGTTTAGGTTACAGTAGTGGGGGGAAAAAATGCAAAAATTAATTTCCCTTGGCTTGTCCTGTTGTTTAAACAAGCAACCAACCAAGCAAAGAAAATCCAAATTAACTAAACATGCTTATTGCACAAAAGTTGTCCTCAGTCCCTCCTCGACTAGGTCCAGACAGGTTTCATTTCACCATCTCTTAATGATTTTAGAGTCTCTAGCTCTGTACGGTCTCTAAAACGTTCCCTCCAGATGGAGTTCTGTAGGAAGCTCATGGCTCCTGGCTTTCTGGCCCTGAAGGAATTGGCTCAGTATGTTTCCATTATCCAGCTGGATGCCAATAGTATTGAGTTCTGAATCGGCACCTTAGTGACTACCAGCATTAAGCATTCGTGAGAGGAGTGAGGAAGTTGGGGACAGGAGGATTTTTGTGGTTCTAAAGCAGTGAAACATTAAGGGGGAAACACGTGATGCCAAGTCCTGTCCTCTTAAGAAAAACATGGCTGGATGAATAGGAAAGGTGGTTTTCACAGCTGGTTGGAGATGGGGAAGATTGGTCCCTGGGACATCATTTAAGAAGGGTTTTTAAAAAGAGGAGGCCATTTGGTTACCTATCAACATCTGTGGTTCTCTTATCTTTAGTGAGATACTTTACATAAAACTGGGAAGGAACCCAGGAACCTGAAATACAAGAAATTCCTGAAAAACAAATATTTTGTTACTTTGGGTGAAAAAGCTATTTTGTAAATAACCTTATCCTTATTATAAATAATAATATCAGTATAGGGACTTGGCAGTGAGATTATACTCTGAATGGACTAGAGGTAGTTTTGACATCAGTGATTCCCATTAATCTTTTAACCTTTATAATTGTTTTTTTTCCCTGGATAGATTACCCTTATAGCTTGGCAAGCAAAGAGCTGAAACATGTCATTAAGGTCTTACTGGGAAAGTGCTCTGATTCACTGCAGGACTTCTTTGATCACTGCATCTACACTATGTTGCGGGAGATGGACAGGTCATCAGGTGAGCACAGCCTTATTGAAGTTGCATTGTTAAAGTATTGTTACAAACTGTAGGGAGCAGTCAAGGACAAAATCAAACTAGGACAAAACAAAGATTTATTAATAAACAGCACGCGTAAACCAGTTTATCTTTAACTCATACTTCCAAGTCTTTTTAGAGGCCTACATTCTACGGACGGATTATTCTATTCCTTTAACCCGAAAACACTTTTCAAAACCTTAACAGACCAAAAACAAAAACAACCTAGCATGCTAATAAATGGACTTAATCTCCCTTCCTTCAAAATGGATGCTCAGAGGTAAATGGCAATCAATCTCCTTTTTCTAAAGAGAGAACATTTCACCATATGAGACAACATTTTTAGACTCTGAATACCACAAAAAAGATCAGGATTTCCTGAAATAAAACAGCAGCTCTCTATGGTGTTCAGATTACTTTGCAAGAATATGATCTCCAAGATGGATAAGGTGCTCTCGCATGGCACACGCTTTTAGGAAGTGGAGAGTGACGCTGTTTGTTCTCTCCTTTTTTTTTTCGTCTCTCCGGTTATGCAGTGTTCAATGGCTGTTGAGTAATCGAATGGTTTATCATGAAGTTAATCAGTATAAACCACCAGAAAACCCCCTTTACCATTCATGTTTGCTTGCCTCTTAGCAGCTAGGCAAACACCTGTAGCTGTGCTCATTGTTTTAGGTTTTCTGAGTAAGGGCTTGGGTAGTGTAACCAGGATGTGATCAGCAAAAACATTTTCCCCTCCTTTTGTTACTTACGTTACTATGACCATTGTACTGTACTGTTCATCTAGTCTTCCCCGTATATCTTCCCTGCTCTTAAACGGCATAAAGACCCATCAGTCTCCCAAGATATTCTCAAACTGAGGACTTGTAGTTGCGTTGCATTTCTAAAATGTGTGCCAAAGTTTGTGTCGGCAGGAGCCCACAGTCCCACAGACGAGACTACTTAGCACAATCCCTGTGGCACCTGGCTACTTTTGAATAATCAGTAGGGTCCTTTGGTCGGTTAACTGATGTAACTGATCCTCCAGGTTGTAAAATTTGACATCAGGAGGGTTTTGCCTGGAAATATTGGTTCAAGTACTGCAACTACAGTATATCGGTTTGTCTCACATGAAGAATAATAGACAGAAACACCACAAGCTTTCTCTGAAACTTTTTAATTCTAGCACCCATTTTGTTAATGTAGGGAAAGAGATAGCAGGCAAGGCAGCCTTGGTTTCTCCTTGCTCTTTATTTCTGACTTGTATGTGCACTGACGTTAAATACCTTGTGTCTTTACAGGTGAAGCACTGCATGGCTACAGAGTGTGCATTCAAGCCATAATGCTGGACAAACCCAAAATTGCAACTTTAAATTTGCCTGATGTGAGTACTGGCAAGGGTTGCTACTCAATTTTCTGAGCAAGGAAGGAAAGAATAAATAAAATACTTTAAGTATTTTAGTGTTTAGTCTGGATGGCTTTCACCTATACATTTTATTTGGGAGTGTTACACTGCTATAGTTCTCAACAATGGTATGTAATGCAGAAACAATTACGTCTCTACACGAACCCAGTTATTTTATCGGTGGGCTTTATAGCATCTTGTATCTGCTCATGTAATAACTTAGATCTGAAGTTCATCCTTGTTCTTATTCATTTTTCCAGTGACGGCAACAAAGGTGTTGAATCAAAATCTGATTCTCCATATGGTCAGATCCCACAATGGGTCTGTCAGATCTAGGCACCTGGAGACAGGTTTTGCAATTTAATATTTTATATCCATTACCTTTGTATATACAATCATTCCTCTTTAACATGCAGTGCAAGCCTAATGTATCACTAATTCAAATTAGTTTTATTATTATATAAAGTAAGAAACTGGAATCACACCTTATGCTCTCAAGCCATTGAAATGTTCTCAGATTTACATTGCAGCTAGTATCCGGATGGTTTTAAATATGTCATGTAATGGCGATGAACAAGTCTCATTTTTACTTGTTTGTGTCGGTCATTGAAAGCAGTCTTCCCCTCCTTCTTGCTTCTTGCAGCATTTGGAGCTGTTACGATCCCACCAGAACAGACCAGTGAAGTGCCTCGCTATCATGTGGGCTTTGGGGCAGTGCGGCTTCACAGACCTTACTGAAGGACTCAAAGGTAAGTGGTGTCTTCTCCTTCCTCACCTCAAGGACAAGGGAATAAAGTTCTACTAGGTAATGAATCTGTGCAAAATTCAAGGTGCATCTAACGCCCAGCATCAAAAAAGGACTTTCATCTTGCACTGCTGTTCAAGTCACAGGATCTGATATTTAGAAGGTGACAAAAGGGAGTTTTACTGGTGTTTTCCTTTACAATACTGAAAAATAACATTTTAAGGTCCTTTAAAGAGGCTATAAAGCGGAATGTAGACATATAGTGTATACATAACATATCTATACATATGAAGTTATTTTATTTTAGCCTCCAAAACCCAAGCAGATAAATTTAAAGCTGCCTTGACAGCTGCAGGTTTCTCTCTGTTTGTGAGAATCAATGCCATTTGGTGAAAGGTCACAGTCTGCTTAGCAAAGCAGGTAAAAGTTCATTGTATTCAAAAGCCGTTCATTGCTCAGAGTCAAACCTCATTGTTGTTGGCTCTCTAATCTGGTTACTCAAGATTTTTAAAGTGAATTGTTTCACAGCTTCAGGGGGTTTGAACTATATATATTCTCTCACATAACAGCTCCAACATTCAATATTCATTCTCCAACAAACAGCTTTGGCTATTTTCTAGTCATTCTGAGTCTGCCTCACTTTAGAAGTATGAACTTAAAAACATTATAACCAAGAAGTGGCCCTAATTGATTGATACCCTTTTTTTACAGCTTTGCACTGTTTGAATGTTCAACTCCCTCACACAAAGGATCCCTCTCTGTCATTTTAAATCTAAGCACAGTTTCAGATATAGAACAAAGTAATGAAATTCTATAATCCGTTTTATAGTTTGTTTATAATCCATCTTCCCAGACTCAATGGACATTAGCTGTATACGGAGAAAAAAAAAGTTTAGAGGCCAAGCAGGTTTAATGCTGTGAATTGCTAGATTTTATTTTTAAACAAGTTTCCTACAGTAAGGACATAGTGTAAGAACCTGTTTATGAAGTAATTGCTCGGTAACTCACTATGTTTTAGAATAGGGTAACTTGTTTCAAAATACCAGACATGCTCCCTGCAATCTGAGTTCTACAGTATGTATTGTGATTGTGTTTTCTGCCTCTCTTCCCCTCAGTGTGGCTTGGCATCATGCTTCCAGTTCTTGGTGTTAAAGCACTGTCATCTTTTGCTATTGGTTACCTGGAAAGACTTCTAATGTGAGCACTTTTTTATCATGTACTTTAATGTTGTTGGAATTGGATCAAGGCTTTTGCATTGAAATTGAAATGGCGAAAATAACATTTCAACTTTTCTAATAAGAGGAAGAGTAGTAAGCTTTCTTTTCCTCTTTGTCAGAGGTTGCAAATATAATTATCTGAGCATGTTGGATGCTAGGTTTCAATTCTAGAAGTTTGTTAGTACTTTAAAGTAAATACAAAGTTCATGTAGATTTTTAAGGAGTATTTGTGCTTTAAAGTAATATGAACTATAGTCTAAAATGCTTGGATCATATCCGTTGCTGTGTTTCACAATACTGTATATTGAAATCTAAAATTATTCTTCCAATCTTTTTTTTTAGGTTGCATGCCAACTTAACCAAAGGCTTTGGAATAATGGGACCAAAAGAATTTTTCCCTCTGCTGGATTTTGCCTTTATGCCCAAAAATGCACTGATACCCAGGTAATAGAGGGAAGGAGGAAAAATAATTTTCTGTACCAGATGTTCAGTGAAACATACCCACAGATTAATAACCATTGAGCTGGTGTCTGGTCCTTATGACC